GGACCAGAATGCAGATCAGGAGAGCGGTAACTACATTTCTCCCAAGATCATACCACCTTTTGTGGCATTCAGAAAGGTTCAAAAGACATAATTTCTGAGTAACCGAATTACTTTATTTATAATGTAATAAAAGGATGGTCATTTGTCCATCTCTGTCTTAGACCAAAGAGGATCATGGCAGTGGGCTCTTGGCTTAAATGCCCTCCTGGAAGAGGAGGATGCAGTCCACTCTGATTGGTTAATAATTAATGAGAGAATGAAAATTACCAAGAGGGGCTCGACCTGAACTCTGATTATGTCATTTACTTCTAAGTTAGCCCCAGCCTTGGGCAATCTATTCAAATAATTTATCCCCACCCAAACCTGAGTAGAACACAATGGCTGCCTCATCTGGGTGGGGTCTAGCCAGAGGAGATTAGTTCAACCTTCAGAGACTGAAGTCATGAAATAAAGTTAAAAGGAAAAGGGGGAATTCTGAATCTCCCCAAATCATTGTTATTAATAATCATTTCTCTCACTTTGAAGCACCATAAACTTCCAAATCCCAAGAACTACCTCTGAAAACAGTAGTGGAAAAAAGCCTAAAGTTTGGGATGATGCTCCCCCACCCTGGGAACACAGTCCAACTTTAACATGAAGTTCAGGAAAAAATAAGCAAATAACAACAACAAAAATAATAACCTAACCATAAAAACTACTATGGTGACAGGTAAGATCAAGACACAAACTCAGAAGAAGATAATGATGTCAAAACAGCTATAAGAAGACCCTCAAAGGGGAAAAAAGTGAACTGGACACAAGCTCAACAAGAATTCTTAGAAGAGTTAAAATTATTTTAAGAATCAGATAAGAATGGTAGAGAAAAAATCAAGAAAAGAAATTAGAGCAATGCAAGAAAATTATGAAAAGACAATTAACAGCTTGGTTTTTTTTTTAAAAAGCACAAAAAATACTAAAGAAAACACCACCTTAAAAAACAAAATTGGCCAAATAAAAAAGAGGTACAAAAGCTCACTGAAGAAAATCATTCCTTAAAAATTAGAATTGGGCGAGTGGAAGCTAATGACTCCATGGAACATCAAGAAACAATAAAAACAACCTCAAGAAAAAAAAGACAGAAGAAAACATGAAATATCTCACTGGAAAAAAATGGCTGACCTGGAAGATAGATTGAGAAGAGATAATTGAAGGATTATTGGATTACCTGAAAGTCATTATCAAAGAAAGAGCCTAGACATCACGTTTCAATAAATTATAAAGGAAAATAACTTCAAATTCCTAGAACTACAAGGTGAAATATTCAATAAAAGGCCATAGAAACATAGATTAAAAATTAATTGCAAACTAGATAAGCTAATCCTAAAGAATGAGTGGGCCAAACAACAAATCATAGAAACAATCAATAATTTCATAGAGAAAATGACAACAATTAGGCAACATACCAAAATTTATGGGATGCAGCCAAAGAAGTACTTAGGGGAAACTGTATATCTCTAAATGAATACAACAATAAAAAAGAGAAAGAACTGATCAATGAATTGAGCATGAACTAAAAAAAAAAACCTAGAAAAAGAATGATTTTTAAATCCCCAATTAAACATCAAAATGGAAATCCAGAAAACTAAAGGAGATATTAGTAAAATTGAAAGTAAAAAAATAACAACATTGAACTAATATGTAAAACTAGGAGTTTGCTTTATGAAAAAAAAAAAGATAAACCATTGGTTAATTTGATGTTTTTTAAAAAGAAGTAAACCAAATTGCTGGTATCAAAATGAAACGGGTAAATACACCACCAAGCAAGCAAAATCAAAGCAATTATTAAGAATTATTTTGCCCATTTACATACCAGTGAAACTGACAATCACAGTGATTATTTATAAAGCAGGTACTTATAAAAATATAAATTTTGTCTACATTAACAGAAGAGGAAATACTTAAGTAACCTCATCTTAGAAAAAAAAATTTGAACAAGCCATAAATGAGCTCCCTAATTCTACCAAACATTTAAAGAACAATTAATCCTAATACTATATAAACCATTTTTTAAAAAATAGGTAAAGAAGGAGTCCTCCCAAATTCATTTTATGGTGCAAATATGGTTTTGATACCTTAACCAGGGAGAGCAAAAAAATGGAGAAGGAAAACTATAGGCTAATCTCCCTAATGAATATTTATGGCAAAAAATTTAAATAATATACTAGCAAGGAGATTATAGCAATAGATCATGAAGATCATATACTATGACTAGGTGGGATTTATACCAGGAATGCAAGACTGGTTCAATACAAAGAAAACTAGCAGCATAACTGACCATATTGATAACAAAAATAACAAAAATCATATGGTTAAATCAGTAATGGCAGAAAAGGCAATGATAAGTTATAAATCTGTAAAACCAAGAGTAAATATTATCTGGAATGAGGATAAGTTAGAAGCTTTCCCAGTAAGATCCGGGATGAAGGATTCCATTATAATCATTGTTATTCAATATTGTATTAGAAATGTATTAGCAATAAAACAAGAAAAAGAAATTAAAGGAATAAAGATAGGCAACGATGGGGCAGCTAGGTGGCTCAGTGAATAGAGCACCGGCCCAGGTGTCAGGAGGACCGGAATTCAAATCTGGCCTCAGACACTTGGCACTAGCTTTGTGGTCCTGGGCAAGTCACTTAACCCCATTGCCTAGCCCCCAAAATAAATGAACGAATGAATGAATAAATAAAGGCAATGAGGAAACAAAACTTCCACTTCTTGCAGATGGTATCATGATATACTTAGAGAACCCTAGGGAATCAACTAAAAAACTAGCTGAAACAATGAACAGTTTTAGCAAAGATGCAGGATATAAAATAAACCCATATAATCATCAGTATTTCTATATATTGCCAGTAAAGTCCAGCCAGCAGAGATTGCAAGAAAAACTCCGTTTAAAATCACTGCAGACATTTTACAAATACTTAGGAGTAAACCTGCCAAGACAAACCCAGGGAATATATGAACTCAATTCCAAAGCACTTTTCATGCAAAAAAAAAAAACCCAGATCTAAACAAATGGAAGAATATTCATTGCTCACAGGTAGGCTGAGCCAATATAATAAAAATGACAATTCTACCTAAATTAATTTACCTATTTAGTGCCACACTAATCAAACTACCAAAGTAGAACTATAAAAAATAATAACAAAATTCATCTGAAAGAAAAAATGGTGAAGAATATCAAGGCAATCGGCGAAAAAAATGTGAAGAAGGAAGTTTAGTAGCACTGGATTTCAAACTATATTACAAAGCAGTAACTATCAAAACAATCTGGTACTGGCTAATAAATAGAGTAGTGAATCAGTGGCATAGAGTAGGTATATTACACATAGAAGTAAACGACCATAGTAATCTAGTATTTGACAAACCCCAAGATCCAAGCTTTTGGAGCAAGAACTTAGCATCTGGCAAAAATTAGGCATAGACCAGTATCTCAAACTGTATACCAAAATAAGGTAAAAATGGGTAAATGATTTAGACATAAAGAGTGATATCACAGGGGAGCATGGAAAATTTTACCTGTAAGATTTATGGATAAGGGAAGAGTTTATGACCAAACAAGACATAGAAAGGCCATAGGAAGTAAAATGGATAATTTTGATTATATGAATTTTAAAAGGTTTTGCACAGGAGGGTAGTTAGATGGATAGAGCACCAGCCCTGGATTCAGGAGGACCTGAGTTCAAATCTGGCTTCAGACATATAATACTTACTAGCTGTGTGACCCCAGGCAAGTCACTTACCCCCATTGCCTAGCCAAAAAAAAAAAAAGAAGTTTTGCACAAACAAAACCAATGCAACCAAAATTAGAAGGAAAGCAGGGAACGGGGGGGGGGGGGAATTTTTTATAGCAAGTTTCTCTGATAAAAGCCTTATTTCTCAAATATTTAGGGAACTGAGCCAAAGTTATAAAAAATAAGAGCCATTCCTCAACTGATAGTCAAAGTATATACATGGGCAGTTTTGAAAATGAAATGTCAAAGCTAGTCACATGAAAAATGCTCTAAACCAATACAATTAGAAAAATGCAAATTAAAGCATCTCTAAGGTACTATTTTACCTTTCAGATTGGCTAACATGACAGAAAAAGAAAATAATAAATGCTGAAGAGGATATGGAAAAATATGTACACTAATGCACTGTTGGTGGAGTTGTGAATTTGTCCAACCATTCTAGAGAACAATTTGGAACTGTGCCCAAAGGGCTACAAAAACTGCGCACTGCAAAACTGTGCATACACCCTTTGAAACAGCAATACCAATACTGGCTTTATATCCCAAAGAGAGCAAAGCAAAGGGGAGAAGACCTATATATATAAAATATTGATAGCAACTCTTTTTATAGTGGCAAAGAATAGAAAAATGAGGGGATATCCATCAACTGGGGAATGGCTGAACAATTTGTAGTATATGAGTGTGATAGAATACTATTGTAATATAAGAAATGATAAGCAGGATGGTTTTAGAAAAACCTGGAAAGACATATGAACTGATGCAAAGTGAAATGAGCAGAACCAGCAGAACACTGTACACAGTCATAGCAATATGGTAACAATGATCAACTATGAAAGACTTAGCTACTACGATCAAGACAATAATCCAAGATAATTCCAAAGGACCCAAGATGGAAAATGCTGTCCATCTCCAGAGAGAGAACTGATGATGCACTCTGAGTGTAGATTGAAGAATACTTTTAATGTTTCTTGTTTGGTATTTTTTTTTTAGCCACATGGCTAATATGGAAATGAAAAAATAAACCTAAAAACATGCTGTGAAGAAAAAAAAGGAGTAACATGAAAGAGATGACTTGATAACCAAGAAGGAGGTTGTCCACTCCACCTCCCCATTCAAATTTGAGAAAGAGAGGGAATGTGAGGCATGCATGGGAGATAGAACAAGGTTGGGATATGGTATTACTTCTGTCAGAGCAAATATTTCTAAAGAAGCATTTTTCTATTTCAGGATTGCTGGTGATACAGCCCTCTGCAAAAACATCCACGAGTCAGTCAGTGCCCAGATCCGGAAGAACTTTGCAAAAAGCAAATGGAGAGTAAGTCATATATATATTTTTTTCCTCATTGGCATAAATTAGGAATCAGTAGAATCATTCACTTAAGTGTATCTTGAAAGAGAGCATGAATGAATAAGCAAATGAATGAACAAATAAATTTTGGAATGAAATCCCATTAATTTTTTGCATGCTTTAATTCTGAATTAGTAGACTCACAGAATGTTGTTCGGGGCAAGATTTTAGAGATCACCTGCTGTTGGACTGATAAAGATATTGAGTACCTTCACCCAGTGAATTGACTTACTCATTATCACAGTTAGTTGTTGACTAAGTCTGGATAAGAAACCTGGTGTCCCTTGTATTATGTCTCAATGCCGCTTTCTTAGTCCTTAATCTATTTAACTGTCTTATATAAAATCTATTCTGTATATAACTGGAGATTTCTCATTTAGAGATGAAATGACCAAAATGATTTAGATTAAAAGTCGGTATCTTTCCAAAGCTTCAGAACTTTACTCAAGTGTTCCTTAATTTCAAGAGATAATAATGCATACCATGCTTTCTTTGTAATGATCCTATGAGATGAGTAGTGAAAGTATTATTATCATCCCCGTTTTACAGACAAGCACATTGAGATTTTGAGAGGTGAGTGACCTTCCCAAGATTACACAATTAGTCTCTCTCAAGTGGGATTCTATCCCAAGTCTCTAAGTCTACTGTTTTCTCCACTAAACTTTAGGGCTTCTTTACAAAAAATAAATTAGATGAAAGCCTTGAGGAAATAAATAGCAAGATCCAAAAGGGATGAATAGTTTATTTCAACCATTTCCCCTTGGGAAAAAAAAATCTAGCCATTTCTCAGATTTTCAGAGGCAGGTTATCTGACTTGAGAATGATCCCAGCCCCTGATCTGTTCTTTCTCTTTCTTTTGCCATCTACAGTTTAAGGGTGACACAATACACATTAGTATTTCCATCACAGGTGAAGAAGAGATTGAGAAAGCCTAAATCAGTCACCTGGAGTTACAGTCCCTCATGAGCATTTCTAATAAAAGGATTCATAGATAACTGAAAAGCTTGAGGTTTTGTGACTATTAAGTAGTTACCTAAGCTTATCTTGTCATGTATTCATATCAGCGATTAAAGAGATGGCCACACAGAGAATATTTAGGCCAGAGAAGGTTGGGGGGTAGGGATAAAGGGAATGCCTAGTTTCCTCAAGGATGGAGCTTTTATATGAAGCCTTCCCTAACCTCTAGCTGCTAGCGCCTTTCTGCCTTCAAAAAAAGTTTGTATTTATTTTTCACGTATTCGTATATATAGTAAGTGTGTAGATGCATAGATAGATATAGCTGTTAAAATGCTGTTTCTCCCACCCTGACCAATGACCACCCTGGCTTCCTCTAGTTGTTGTTCAGTCATTTTTCACGGTTTTCTTGGCAAAGATCCTGGAGTGGTTTGCCATTTCCTTCTCCAACTCATTTTACAGATGAGGAAACTGAGGCAAACCGGGTTAAGTGACTTGCCCAAGGTCACACAGTTAGTGTCTGAGGCCAAGTTTGAAGTGGGGAAGATGAGTCTTCCAGACGCCAGGTCCAGCACTCTATCTACTGGATCACCTAGCTGCCCCAGCTTCCATTAAGTCCCAACTAAAATCCCACCTTCTGTAGGGAACCTAACCCCTCTAAATCCAGTGCTTTCCCTCTTTTAATTGTTTCCTATTCATCTCATTTATAGCTTTTTTCATATATAGTCATTTGCATGTTTTCTATCCCATTGATTGAAAGCTCCACGAGAACAGCAACTGTCTTTTGCCTCTTTTTGTATCCCAGCATTTAGCCTAGTACCTGACACATAATTAGCACTTAATACATGTTTATTAATTAGTTAAAAAAATACACTGAAATCTCCTTGAGATCAGCAGTAGTTCACTTTTGCCTTTGTAACCCAGCCCAGTGCCTGACACAGAGTAAATATTTAACAAATGTTCATCAATTGGTTTGTTGATAGAGAGAAAGAAAGCAGTTTTCAAATGTTCCAGTGGATGTCATGTACGAGTAATTAGGCTTACTCCATGTGCCTCCAGAGAAAAGAATGAATGGGGAGACATTATAGAGATATCAATTTCAACACAATATGAGAAAGAACTTTAAAAAATTAGAGTTGCCTAATATGAAATGCCATGAGCTGCCTTTGACGTAGTAAGACCCCCATCACAAAAGGTATTCAAGAAAAGACTGGACAACCACTTGTCAAAGGGTGTTGTTATATAGGGGTCCCTGCAACAGTCAGAGAATACTTTAAATGAGTCCTGAGACCCAACAACATTCTTGTGCACGTTAATATACTAGAGCTGTTGGTGAGATTATGTAGCCACTATCTCAGTCTGCTTCTGTGGTAAACCTAGTTTCATGAAAGGGAATGCTATTTTTAAAAATAATGGTATTGATGCTACAAGAGCCTACCATTTGGTGCAGATATTTCTTCCACTGACAGATCTTTGTCTCTTCATGACTTAGTAATGGTCTTTGGGAATTCTACCCAGCAGCCAACTTGGTGACTTCAGACTTACACAGACTGGTACTTGGGCAACAGATGGGCCATCTATCACCAGGCTTATACTTGGAGCTCTTGGGACCTTCCAGAAGCAGCTAAGTGGCACAGTGGATAGACTGTCAGGTCTCAAGTCAAGAAGACCTGAGTTCAAATTTGGCCTCAGGCACTTACCAGCTCTGTGACCCTGGACAAGTCACTTAACCCTGTTTGTCTCAGTTTCCTCATCTATAAAATAAGCTGGAAAGGGAAATGACAAACCACTCCAGTATCTTTGCCAAGAAAATACTAAATGGGGTCAGATGTGACTGAAACAAATGAATAACAACAAGGACCTTCCAAAGCCTATACACCAAATGTCCAGCCTTTGACAGCCCAAGGTCATCTCTAGCCACTCTGAGGCAGCAGAATAGGACATTAGTGCAATACGATATCTACAATGAAAAATAAAAACTGTTTTAAAAACAACGAACCTTTAAGATATGATAATATACCCTTTGTTTTGAATATGTTGTTTACTTAGATTCTTAACTCATTTTCATGAAGAGGTGAGGTCTTCATCACTAAAGGGACCAGGTTAGATAAACATTTGTTAGACATATCATGGAAGAGATTTATATAGCAAGAAGGAGTTGGGGAAGAGGACTTCAAGGGAGCCTTCCAACACTTAAGATTCTCTGACTCTAATTAGTTTACATTATCTCATGCATGTTGTTGTATGTATGGAATGTCCCTTAGGTAAAATACCCTCTAAAACCCAGGTTAGATTTAAGCACAGTGCTTAATCACTGCTTCTTGACTTCACTTGAAAGCAGATGAAATGGTGGCTTTTCATCATGTCAATAGGAAGGCTTTTAGATTGAAGAAGCAACATTTAACCCCCATAAGCTTCCTTCCTAAAATATCATGAGAACATTTTGACTTCTGAGAACCCTGGAATACTTACAATAACTAGTGAAATAAAAGGACCAAAACTGTGCCTTTTCCAATTAACTTGGCTATTCCTTGTGGGGGGGGTTTTCCCTTTTTTCCTCTCTCCTTCTAAATCTCAGCAAGCATTCAATGCCACAGCCGTTGTGAGGCATATGAGGAAACTGCATCTCGGCAGCAGCCTGGACAGTTCAAATGCAAGTGTGTCAAGCAACCTCAGTCTGGCCAGCCAGCTCCCTGACGGGACAACCCGAAAAGATCGTGAGTACCTGGCAAGAGATGATTCAGCTGCCAGTACTTAGGGACATTCTGCTGGGGGAGGGATTCCTAGTCAGCAATCATTTTTAAGAACTCTGGATCCAGCCTTAACATCAGCTTACTTGTCTCTTCAGCTTTTAAATTAATCAAAATAAATGGAATTCATGCATTATCCCTTTTTCTTTATTAGCCAAAGTACAATTATCTCTTCTCTACACACACACACACACACACACACACACACACACACACACACGCTGCTCCCAACTTATGAATGTATTCCACTGTAAATCTGTTGATTGGAATTCAAAATACTACATTTTCCCATAGGAAGAATATAAATAATGGCTACATTTCCAGTGTAGGCCACAAAAGCCTAGTTAAACTTCAGATATAGCAGAACTAATACTAATGATAACCCTGATCTTTAAGCCACTTCATAGCTCTGAACCCTTGTGCATGGCAGTTTCTAAATTTTAGAGGCTTGTCTTATTAAATAGCTACAATAGTGATAACACACCACTATTGAGCTCCCTTCAATGGTATGAGGACCAGGCCTTATCCCTTCATGCTCCTTGGATTCTCAAGTCAAATCCATTTACCCAGTTTGTCCACTGAAGTCTAGCAAGTGATAATTCAGTTACTCAAATAAACTACTCCACTGTGAGGACTTCAAACATACCAACTCTACGTAGTTGAGGTGACACACAAGAGGTAGTGTGACTTACAGGAAAAAGCCAATCTCCGTCAGGAAGACCTGGGATCAAGCCTTACTCCTCACACTCCCTGGCTATGTGACCCACCTCTCCATGTCCCAAACAACTTTCTAAGGTTCTCAGGTACAGAAAAGGTGCGGATCCCTATCAGTAAAGGGACTTTACTCATGGGGAGTTCCTTACATTGGTGAAATCGCAAGTCTAGAGGAAAAAAAGTCACATGTGGTACTTGCCATCATTCATTTAGCTTAGCCCAGGTTTAAAGTCCTAAAAAAGATCCGTTCCGTATGTTCCCTGTTATGGCTGCTTCTGCCCTCCAGTCCTAGGCCAAATTGCTGCCTTAGCTCCTACTTTGATCTTTAGAGAAATGAGGTCCTCTCCAGGGCAGGCCCTTCTGGCTTCTAGTAGAAAGGAGAGCTACTTTCTTAATCAATTTGACTGGAGTTTCCACAGCTTCTTCTAGAAACCTTCATCCTTACCAGCAGCACCTAAAGTTTGGCACCAAGGTCTAACTAATTGTGCCTCTATTTGTCCATCTGTAAAACAGATTGTCTGTTGTCCCTTCTAATTCATGTCCCATGAATTCTTCTCATTGACCATAACAGGATTCCATCCATTTAGAAGGGGTAAGGGGTAGGAGTCTTACAACAGTTCCAACTGGGACCTATCTTGTTGTTGGATTCCACATATGAGTTTATTTCTCTTTAAAAGATCCAGTTGCAACGCAATGTCTCACGGACTTGTGATATTGTTTTTGGTTAACACAATTCATTGTCTTTTCTGGTTTTTCTTCCAGGCCTGGCATCCTCCACACTCTGTAGTTTTATTTCCTCCTCTTCGGGTGTCTCTGCAGTAGGAGCTGAGCGGAGACCGAGGCCAACCACTGTGACCACAGTCCACACTGGCAGCAAGTGACTGTCCCCGGTGGTAGAGGCTGGGCTGGTGGGGGAGAGGGAAGAGCTAGGAAAGAAGGCCCCACCAGCGGCCAGCAGGACGTGATCTCACCTGAGTGATTTCACCTTGCATGGTGCCCCTTCCTGCACAGGACTGGAAGACAGAAGCTTTTTTTATGGCCATATTTTATACTGCAATTCTGAAGTGTTCATTTCTCACAAACTTTACAGACTCAAGGGGAGCCAGTTTAACTGGTTGGATCTGGTGCTGTATATATGAGTCTAGAGATGCTCTAACTGAATGAACCTTCGCATTCCTCACCCCCATTCCCCAGTCATTTACTCTCTTCTCGGTGTAGGTAACAGTATATGTTGTATTTTTTCATTAATGAAAAAAAAAGGTTTCAACTGGATTATTTAAATATTGGTAACTTGTGCATTAGGTATTTCTTTTCTTTTTAAGAAGTATTTCCTTTTAAATCTATACTTCTTCAGTCACATGAAGCTTTTTAGTAAGTAGAGATTTCCATCATTCCCACCTACAGATTATTTTTACTCCCTGGGGGTCTGAAAATGCTTTTCTAAAGATCTACCAAAATAGGATAGAGGATCTGTCTCCCAATGTAATTGTTCACTTGGTTTTGATTACTCCTTTTTATTATCTCCCTTCTTAGGAAGGGCAGCTCACTGCACAAGACAACCCAGCCATTCAGCATTTGGAGTTATTCTCTCCTGAGGAGCTTTCCTAGAAGTGTGCTGTCTGTCGTCACCCTTTCCCCATCAGCCATCCCAGAACACTCCACAAACAAATCAAGAAACAGTAGCCGTGCCATGGTTTAAGTTGTACAGAACACAAAGCCTATTCCCCAGAGGCCTGAAACTTAAACTCCCATCCCAGTGAGGAAAGGGCTGCCCTTCCACACCAGACTGAGAGCTCTAGAGTTCAGGAACCAAGGCTGGTTTTCTGGGCAAAAGAGCCCTTCCTCTGGGGATGACCTATAGAGCTGGTGTTTCCATGGCACCTTTACAGTATAAACTTGCAATGGTAGACATGCTGATACATTGATGTTATGAAAAGCCTTCCTTACATAAGAAAGCTACCACAATTTTATTGTTAAAGTCTACTGCCCACACACAGCTATCCTTTCTCAGAAGAGGGGTGACATTTAAAAGGTCTGCCCTCTTTCTTAAAGCTATGCAGATTTAAAAATCTCTCTTTCAACTTTTTGAAAAAGATTTTTTCACTATCAATTGAAAATCCCTCCTCCCTCCAACTCATAAAAGTTGCTAGTTCAGCTCTCCCACTTCTTCCCCTCTGGATTGGTGGGGAAAATCAAGGGAGACTTCATTTCACTGGCCACATTCAGTACACATTTAGTGGAAAAAACAAGTGACAAAACCCACATTGGCTTAGTGAGTTGCATCTGGCACTTTTAGGCCAGTCGCAGAATTTGTAGAAATTAGAAGAACCAAAGACCCATCTCTAGGTACATACCACTACCAAGTGCATAGTAAAAACAGTGAATTTGTTCTTCAAGTAACTTCACAGATGCTGTTCAGAGGAAGCATGAGATAGACAGGTGGTTCAGAATGCTGACTTTGCAAAGGATGGCATTTTGAGCACAGAATACCGGAGTCAGCATCTGGCCATTCAGAGCATCCAGTAAGATGCACCAGATGTCAACGATCCACCTGCTTCCCTGGGAATAAACTGTCCTCGCTTGTGTCCTTCTGCCCTCCTCATGCAGAAAGATAGTCTTTCAGAAGTCAAAAAAGCCTCAAATGCCTTTGTACAATTAGGTTTCCTTAGGTTTGTTCCCCTCATCTCCCTACCTTTGTCAGTCTCCAAACAAATATAAGTTAATTGCATTTACTACAGTGTTAGCATGCACATGTTCCTTGCCCTGGGTCTTTGAAGATGGCGCTAGTGACAGGGAAATATGCAAGCCACCACTAAAAGGACAGGCTAGAGCAAATCCTTTAGCAATAACGGCTGTTGCTGCTACTTTGGTACCCATCATGCTCTGAATTGCGTGGTAAAAAGAAAGCAAGTTGTCTTTTGAAGATTGCTTATGTTTGGAAAGTCAGGAAATATATTAGCTTAGATTTTTTTCAGAAAAGAGTGTCACACAAGTTGGAAAGACACTAATAATTGTATGCAGCAGCTGTTTCCAACTTCAGAAAGAGAATGAGGTATCATACATAGTATTCAAGAAAAGTCCAGTGTTTCACCTTGAAATTAATAGTCCTCACTTGCATGACTAATAGAGAACATAAAAGCTTATGCAATTCATGATTGCAGAATGAAGAATGATACTTTGCAAGCGGTCCTTAGACTGGCACTACAGTGCATGCTTAAGACAACACAGCCTTGTGCGCTGTGTATGGGCATCTGCATTCATAAGCAAAGTTTAAAGCTATATTCTGGAAGTTACCCATGATGACTAAGATTTTTCTTTTTTCTGGAGGAAATTTATGAGATGCGTGTTATGTGAAGAGCACATGCAATTAATCTGAAATAATGACACGGTTGGAAGATTCCAAACAGCTAGAAAGCTTTAAGAAAATCTCATTTGTGGATGTGCTCTTTAAGTTGGGTCATTTCTCTGACGTTGTGCAGTACTACGGTAATGCCTCTCTGTCTCACATCAGCACTACTGTAGTATGGAGTACAGGGGGACCAATTTAAGCATCTTTTCTATGTAAAATCTGACAATGCGAATTGGACTTGGTGTTCCCATACCTTGTACCTAGAATAGGATGGATATTGTCATTGAAATTTTGCTTTAATAGGGAATATAGAATATTAAGCGTCTCAGTTGGTAAAAGAAAAATGACTGGTTCTCCTTGAACAATGAATGAAAAAGAATTTCTTAAGCACTTCTTGCATGCTAGGCACCATCTTAGGTGCTGGGGATACAAATGCAAGGATAGTCCCTGTTATTACAAAATGGGAAAAGCAAGGATTTTACTAGGATAGTCAACCTAGAGAGGACTTGGGGTTGAAGGCATGCTGGTGGGCAAAAGGTTGTTTTACAGGAGAGGGATGAGACTTATTCATGTGGCCCCAAGAGATCCAATCTAGGAAGAAAGGGTGGAATTTGCAGAGATGCAGATTTAAGCTCCATGTTAGGATAAACTGCCTAGCAATCAGAGTGGCCCCAAAGTAGAACAGGCTACCTCTAGAAGCACTCTGTCAATTGATAAGGGCTTATTAAGTGCATATGTTAGCTGGGTTTCTGTATGCCCTGAGGATAGAAAGAAAGGCAAAAACAAGTCTTTATCCCCAAGGAGTTTATATTCTAGTGTGAAACAACATGTAAATCACTAGGGATATATAAGACATACAGAGTAGATAGAAGGCAATCTGAAAGAGAAAGGTGCTTCCCAAGGCTAGAAATCTTCAAGCAGAGGCTAGTGGCCATTTGTCAGGGATGGGTAATGTTGATTCCTGTGGAGGACTGGGTTGAACTAGGTCCCTCACAATTTCATGAGTCTGTAATTCTATTTTCACTTTGGCTTTGACAGGAAAGGATTGTATTTTGGTGGCATGGTTTTCAGGATCCTGTTTGTAAAACAATTACAGCTGAAGATGGTGCAGTTTGATCAAAGCAAAAAGATGAGGGATAGATGGTGCATGATCACTGGCTTCAAAGAAACCCAGCTGACATCTTATTTCACAGGCCCAAGGTCTACATTTGGTTCTTTTAACTCTGTACGGCAAATGTCTTCTTCTACCTCTTCTCCTCCCCCCTTCCCTTTTTCTCTCCCTCCCACAAAACTAGAGGAAATATTTTTAATTGACATCTAAATATCTTGCCCTGGTTGTTTCTGCTGCTCCCACCCACCTCCCATCTTTTTCCAGCAGATTTGACCGTTATCTTACCTGAAACACACACAAAGGTTCCATTTGGACTCTTCTCTTCAGCACTAACACCAAGGAAAAGAGAAAAGCAAGTTCTTTGGGTACCACTCTGATTTCTCCTCCCAGAGCATCCCTTTTCTCACCACTACACTCTCTAGGCTGACCCCTACTTCTCCACCAGAGCACCGCCTTCTCTCCCTCCCAGATATCAAGTGGATTAGAATCCTGGCCATCAGCTTTGGTAGGGGCAGAGGAAAAGGGAAAGATATAGCACCAATGGATAGCATGTAACTTTGAAAGGCCCTTGAGAACTGGCTTTGGGGCTCTGCCTAGGTAGAGAGTGGCTTCTTTGCCATTCTGTTTCTGTATATGAAAAGACAGATTGAGGATAGCCTTTTTATTTCATGCTGTGACCCTGGGCAAGTCACTTAACCTCTGTCTGCCTCAGTTCCCTCATCTGTAAAATGGGGACAATAATAGCACCTACCTCCCAGGGTTGTTGTGAGGATAAAATGAGATAATATCTGTAAAGTGCTTTGTAAACCATAAGGCGCTATATACATGCTAGTTAGTATTATTGTTATTATCATTGTTATTAGATGACACTGAATTTCTCATCCTCCAAATTTCCCCATTTTAACATAATAGTAGGAACAAGAGCTTTCCTTAGACTTTTTTTTTCATTAAAGTCGTCATGCATACGGAGGGAAAATAAGTCACCCCAACATTTTTAAGTGGTTCAGGTCACCTGGTATGTTCCCACTTCCAGGACATCCACAGTGCCTCTCTCAATGCAAACACTTCTAAAGACCCAGAGGATTTCTGTTAGCAATGTTAATGTTAGAGATAAGGAAAGGCCCTTGTTTCTCAATGTCTGGATATTCAGCAGGGTGAAATAAGAATTCTCTTGCATAAATAGATAAGTGTTCAAGTGTTCTAATCAGCATCTGGTTAGAAGAGGGTTGATGTAGAGATCTAAGGCCTAGCCTCAGCTTTCTGATCTAACCTGTAACTTTTGGTCCTGCCCACTTTCTGCATTGGAAAGCCATCCCTGAATACCTGGTGTGATACTAGGTAAAGCAAGGATTTCTTTCCAGGGAAAGTCTATGAGGGGGCCCTGAAGGAGGGAGTAGGGAAGAAGCCCCCAGAGATCATCTCCCCTAGAAGAACTTGGATTCTATATATTTGACCAGACTGAACATTTCAAAGGTTAGATAGCCCAGTCTTAATTAGGATTTACTTAAGATTTTATAAAGGATTTGACCTTTGATGAGAAACAAGTTGCCTAAAATGCCTGAATTGTCTGAAAACAATACTTACAACCTTTGATGAGGAACAAATTGGTTGAAACAGTAAGAAAGATCCATCACCACAGGGGCAAATGAATTTAGTCATACTGTACTTGTTATGGAGGGCACTGTGGTTCAGCTGGTCTTGCAGACAGTTCTACAAAATATTCCACTAAATGAATTTATACCAAAGTTCTTTTCTTGATTTTTTAATGCAATAGAATTAGGATAATTCCCCATACCTCAACTTCTGAAGTTTCTGGAGTTTTCAGTCCTAAACGCTCA